TGGGACAATGGAATGAAATGAGCATATTTGGAGAAGCGGTCCACCACTACAAATAAGATGGATTTCCCACCGACTTTAGGCAAACCTTCAATGAAGTCCATAGAGATATCGGCCCAGATCTGCGTTGGGAGTGAAAGAGGCTGCAGGAGTCCTGCTGGGTGTAAGTTCTCCCACTTTTGTTGCTGACATACAGAGCAGTTCTGGAGGAAATCCCTAACCGAGCCTCGCATACCATGCCAATGAAAATCTGCACGGACGCGGTGTAGTGTCTTCTGAACCCCTTCATGGGTGGCGTTGTGGATGCTGGCGAGGATAGCTGGAATCAAGGGACAATCTATTGGGAGATATACCCTTCCTTTGTACAGCACAAGTCCCTCGTAGATGGTCCAGTTTGGTTTGGTTGTGCCAAACTGCAATTCTTGCACCAGGTCCCTCCACGTTGGTGATTGAGGCAACACGCTCCTTAGGTCCTCCAGTAGGGTCATGCAGGGCTGGGAGACTGCGTAGAGGTGTGCCGTGTCCTCTTCACGCCTAGACAGTGCATCAGTGGCCCGGTTAAAGACTCCCGCCTTGTGGTCTACGCGGAAGTCAAACCCTAGCAGTTTGCTTGCCCAGTGCTGTTGGGGTGGAGTAGTAAGCCGCTGCTCTAGAAGGTATTTGAGGCTGTAGTGATCTGTCTTAACAAAGAAGGGCTTGCCCCATGGATACGGCCTCCAGTGTTGGACGGCCTTGGTCAGTCCGATCAATTCGCGCTCGTAGGCCGGTAGCTTGAGGTGCCGATCTGCTAGTTTGCGGCTGAAGAAGGCTATGAGGTGCTCTTGCTGTTGCAGTACTGCGCCGATGCCTATGCCAGACGCATCACACTCCACCGTAAATTCTTAGTCAAAGTTTGGTAGTTGCAGCACAAGGGTAGTGGAGAGTGCGTCCCTTAGGTTTGTGAAGGCGGTGTTAGCTGCTTCATCCCATTGAAATGCCTTCTTCTTCAACATCTTGGTTAATGGGGCCGCCAGGAGTCCATAGTCCCTTACAAACTTGCGGTAGTATCCCGTGAGCCCCAAGAACCCGTAGAGAGCCCTAATGGTCTGAGGCTTGGGCCACTCCCGAATGGCTTGAATCTTGGAATTATCTACCGAGACTCCTTCCCTGCTGACTATATGGCCTAGGTAAAGGACCTGCAGCTCTCCAAAGGAGCACTTGGTTCATTTTAGGAAGAGCTTGTGTTGTCGTAGCAGCTCCAGAACTGTCCTTAGGTGACAAACGTGCTCCACCCACGAAGTACTATAAATTAAGATGTCGTCGAAAAATACTAGGACGAACCTGCGGAGGTGGGGCCGAAATACCTCGTTAATCAGGGCCTAGAATGTAGATGGGGCATTGGTGAGACCAAAAGGCATGACCAGGAATTCAAAGTGGTCGTGATGCGTTCGGAAGGCTGTTTTCTCCACATCTTTAGGGGCCATTCGGACCTGGAAGTAACCTGACCTGAGATCCAGCTTAGAAAAGTACTGAGACCCGTGGAGCTCATCTAGCAATTCGTCTACCACCGGGATCGGGAACTTGTCCTTGACGGTTCTACTGTTGATCTCCCTGTAGTCCACACAAAATCTCCAGGTGCCATCTTGCTTTGGCACCAACAAGACTAGTGAAGA